TGAGAAAAGAAGCTGTCAGGAAGGAGGACATCTGGATCTGACTTGTGTACAGTTTCTTCTTCTTAACCCAGAAGAAGAAAGAAAGATCTAGAAGAAAGATCTAGAATTATCTGATTTCTATTTAAATGAAAACACACTCTTGAAGTCTTTTTTTTTTTTAATAAAGCAGTATTGCTTGTCTGTTTTGTTCAATGTATGATCATTTTAGAGAGTGCTAATGGACTATTTAATCACTGTTTGCAGGTATATGGCATGTCATTCATACAGAAGAATCAATTATGGAAAAAGAAAAATCTAAATAGGACCCTTGAGACAATACTGTGAAAACTGTGTGATTTGGGTACATTTTTAAGAGCAACCATATACTCTGATTTATGACAGTCATATAGATAACAAAATTAACTACCTGGGTTTGACAAAAGAAGGGAAAATGCTAAGTTTTGGTTCGGTATAATAATGTTGAGCTTGTTCTGTAAATGTCATTCAGGAGCAAAATTAATCTTACAAAAGAAAAAAAAGATATTTTAATTGTGAGCAGAGTAAAAACAAGAAATAAAGCATGCTTTCTAAAATGTTCTAACAAACTCAGTCCCATTGTGTCATTACCAACAGCCTGGATGCAAACATTAAGCAAAGTTAGTGCTTGGAAAGGATGCTCACTAATGATACTGCTTTCTCATGGGACAACTCTGCAATGAGCGGGGGGATGCTCTTAAATGATGAATCACAAATCAGTTATAAAGGACTGAGCTTTTTGTGCTGCACGGACAAGCACATCAGTCCCCACAGCAGATGTCTGGATGTCTGAGTCTCATCTGCAGGTCTGTCAACTTTCTGTGAATCAGCTTCTGTATTCACAAATAAGGATGATGAAAGCTTAATTCTCTCTTTTGAGATCTGAGGGTGAAAAGTGTTATCTAAAAAAAAAAAAAAAAAGAAACACCAAACCAAGAAAAAAAAACACAAAACAAAGCCAACAAAAAAACTTTCTGATTTTCATTTTATTTATCCCATCAGGGAAAAGTTCCTGTAAGTTAATCAAATCATACTAACATAGCAGTCTTGTGAGTGTGAGATAGTAAGACTCAGTTATCTGTTCCAGGAAAGGCCAGATCACTACTCAAAAGAAAATGTAACTCTCTGGTAACTAATGAAGTGTATGACAGACTAACCAGTTTTATATCATCTACTATAAAAAGCCTTAGAATGTCCTAAAGCATGCGGGTCTGAAAGCCTGGGTCCTGTAATGATGTTATGACGTGCACAAATAGAGCACCCTTGATTGAATCAGAAAAGCAGGGACTTCATTTTTCTTGAAGAAACCTTGTCAATGGCCATTTGCCTTGAGGATTTAGTCATCCCTAGTGCTGCCTAGTTTCTAACACAAACAGGGACATTGCTGATAGTTCAGCAAAACCTTATGGCTTGATTTGTATTTCCTCAAAGGACCCTTTTCTCCAGGTTGGTCATGGAAATCTCTCTCTAGAGCCCTGGAAGTGGAAAAACAGACATTAGCCTCTTTAATCTCTGCCCCACTGCCAGAGTAGCCTCCAGAGCATGAGTAGACATGAATATTGAGACCAGGTTCTTCTGCAAACTCAGCTCTGGGACAGCGAACATAACTTTTTATTCAGCAGCAGGCACAGACTCCCAAAGTCAGCAGACCCAGTTTATTGCAGGCTGTTACAGATACTTAATCCTGACACCAAAATAACTGTATATGATTTCCTGAAGGAGAAACAATAAACCTCTCAATGAGGATGCCTTCTCTGCATCTTTGATGGGCTAATTTGCATGTATTCCAACAACTAAATATCTGTGCTAGGCAAAGCTCAATCCTCTGTATCTATTTCTCTTTTTTTCACTAGCACAAATGGAATACAGTTTAGGAACATGGTCGGCATTGGGGAAAGAGGATTACAGCATGCAAGTCTTCTTCTACAGGTACCTTACTACACCAACTTTCTCACAGAACTGCTGTTGATGTGACAACCTCTGATCTTCTACAAGACCAACAGACAATCTAACTCTAAATCCAGGTCCTACCATGGTCCTTTCACCAGAGATCCAGAAGCACTTGGTATGCTGCCTGTCTGCAGGAGAGAAACCAAGGTTTAATTGCAGATGCCTGGTTAATTCTCTGCTCATTTCCAGTCAGGTGTATCTGTGTGGCAAGTGATAAAGTTCTATCAATAAGACACAAAGTCTCCAAAGTATCTGGCACAAGCTTGTAGGCATACATTTCAAAAGAGTTATTGTGGCCCACGCCAGCCACAGACTTCATCAGCTGCATCCCTGATTCTGTGCCTCAGTTGGGATTTCCTCCCACAGTCCCATGAGCTCAGCCAGCCTCTGGAAAAATCACTGTCTTGTAAACTTGTGTTTTCTTTGTCATTCAAGTGAGCTGCTATTTCTGGTATAACTACAGTTTCCATGGCTACACCAGCTCATAAATAGTGTCAGAAACCTTGGAGATGTTTTTTTAAGTGATTCCTTGGAATAGGGAATAATCTGGCCAGAGGTGACAAAGCTCATGAGTTTTCCTTTGAGACCACAAGGACTGTATTCCTGCTACCCCTTGGACTCCATGGCTTCTGATGCAGCTCTGGTCTGGATCAGATGGCAACTGTTGTGGCCAAAAACGTCAGCACTGGCTTTCCTGGGACCAAGAGAGGAAAAGTCTCAGCACGGAGGGACAGGGACCAGGTACTCAGTCCCTGAGTAGATTTTGTCATCCATCTGGTGTGGCAGCCAGGCTTGAGCATGAAGCAGGTGCCTGTTGCTCTGAAAAGAAGCTGGGCACCCCCTTTGCAAAGCAAATGCCACCTGCTTTGTGAGGGGAAGGGAGAGAGAGAGGATGTATGGAGAGAGGCCTGATAATAAGAACATGGTAAGTGGGGCCCTTTAGGGAGTTTCTGTCGTGTTTTGTCAGTGGCAAAAAAATAGCTTCATGTGACACCATGGAAATTTTTTTCCCACACATCCACTTTTGTTAAAGAGAAATGAGACACATTTCACTGGGAAAACAGGAGAACAAAGGGAGAGTTTTGAAAGCAAACAGCCTGAACACATGTAAATTTTTAAGGTTCAGAGAAGAGTAGAGGGCTGTAGAGCTGATTTCCCCAGCAACTTTACCTACATAGAAGGCAGAAGGGGAGGGGGACCACCCGGAAACCTGTCTGCAGCAGATGGAGGCATGGGAATGAGCAGCGGGAATGGAAGTGCAGTCTGCTGCCAGCAGGCTGCACCTCTTTATATCCACACAAGCAGGTCCCTGCCCACAGTAATCACTTCTGCTGTCAGAAGAGGCTGAGTGCAATCAATCTCCACACATTTGTATACAAGCTGTAGTCATCACAGGGAAGAGAGGATGCCAACACGATGCTGCCCCCGTCCTCTTTCCTGTGCCCAGAAATTACTGCACAGGCTTCTGAAAGCTCTGTAATCATCTTCAAACACGTGGGAATGTAAGTGTGTTTGCTCCTTCTCTGCTAGATTGAAAGCTCCCAGCTGCATCTAGGATTTACTTCCCAGCTTCTCAGTTCCCACTCAAGGGCTAGGACCTTATCGATTTTTTTAATGTAAGCTAAGAGTCTCACTGAACAATTCATCTTGTCTAACTTCAGCCATCTGAAAGGCCAGAGGCCTCAGCTCAGCACCAGCTCAGTGCTGGACTGCTGCCCACTGCCAGGGTCTGTCACATCAGAGAGAGACTGTCCCTTCTTGGTCACACACAATCACAGTCCTGGCTGGCGTGGCTGCTCCAAAATCCCCTCCTCCAGCCTCACCCAAAGACAAATTACATCCATCCTACACAAACCCTCACTTTGGTTTCCTTCTGCCCCATGTGGTTCTGATGCTACTTGTGCTACTCCCTTTTCTGTGACCGTTTTCAATCCTGCCAGCCCTGATCTCATGCTGTGAGCTGGATGGTCAACAAGGGTAAGTGAGAGGTGCTTCGCCAGAACCAAAGGCCTCAAAGGATTGTTAACCCTGTCACTATGCCTCAAGCCAGACAGTTACAGTCCATGACTCAGATGCTGCTACAGCTGAGGATGACTATGATCTTCCAGGGCCTTTTTGCTGCACTCTGGACCTTCTCTTTTCATTCCAAGACTCCGCTGACTCTTTCTGTGTCTCTGACACTGATCTCCTAGGCAGTTACAAAAGGCTATTAAAATACATTGGAGATACAAAGCACTCAATAAAATAGTGTGCATTACCATGCACGGGTGTTTGTTGGGTTGGAGTATGGGCTGAGGCACCAGCTTTTCCCTTTCTGAGCGGCATCCTCACAGTAGCAATGCAACTGGTACCCAGGTGCAATCTAGCTGTTACCCTCAGCCCAGCATCTTGGGTCTCAGAGGTGGCCACCCATGAGCAACACAAAGTTTCCCCCTTCTTCCCCTGCCTTTCCAGCTGCTTCACCAGGGTGCTGCACAGCATCTCAGCAGCATTCCCTATGACTCCCTTGAGCAGACTCAGCGCTGTTGGCATTGGGTTGATTGCATACGTTGCTCTGTAAGGTGTGTCTTCACCTTTGTAGCATTGCTGAGAAGTTTTCTGGAAACCTCTCCAGGCATTCACCAGCACAGGGGAGGGATAGGGGTGATTAGGACCAAATCCTTCGTGCCCTGACATGTGCAGACACAAGTCTGTGTGTGTGTTTTCCCAAGCAGCAGCATTGCTCAAAGGGCAGGTTATTTCTTTATTTCTCTTTGCTTCTCCAGAGATCTCACCCCAGGAGCTCCAGAGAGGCCACTTTTCTTGCAGAAAGTGGCACATCACCCCTCAGGAGCGCGCCAAGGCTCTGTTGCTCCCCTGGACCTTGCCGGAGCTGTGCCTGCTGGTCTCCCAGTGCTCCCCCCACCTCCTTGCGCCATGTAATCGCCCGCCCACGACTGGTGCCCTGATGTCACCTGGTGGCAGGGTATATCTGGAGGAGAAAGGACACATCGAGACTCTTTCTACACAAGCTACAGGACGGGAGTTGAATGATTTGGAAGAGGAGCCTTTGGTAATGTAAGTGTTCTCCAGGTGCTCAACTCAACAGAGGGGGCAAGGGGATGAAAAAGGAACTGGCTACAAAACCGAGGGGAGAGAAAAGTCCATATAAAACTCTATGGGGAAAAAAATCTGGATGTTTGAACTTAGAGAGTGCGAACAGATCCGGTAGCTAGGAGAGGAAGTTGTGGTTCTTGCATGTTTGTCTTCTGTTTCCTCTAACATTAGGGCAGATGCTGGAGCTCAAAGCTCCCTGGCTGTACAAGCAGCTCTGCTGTCTGCAGGCTGCTCAGTTTCCCATGCTGGGCACCCCTTGGTCAGGGTTCCTTGGAACCCCCTGGGCTTGTGTCTGCAACTTGCTGAGCCTGCATGTGAGCAGCACAGGGGGGCTCCTGAGGAGCAGCTGGGACAGGCAGCTGGTGTTTCCTGCTCTGCTGCCCAGCTGTACATGCAGGAAACGTCAGCGGGGAGTTTGTAACCTGTGATACTGTACCTCTGGTGTTACTGAATCCCTTCTTTCACCTGGGATAGTCTTTCCAGTTATTTCCAATTGGGAATATAGTTCTACTTAAAATGATTAGTTTCTGTCTTTCAGAGTGCATTCTCTTTCACCTGCTTTTGGTCTTAAAACAGCTGCTAGAATGAAGGGTTTGAGATTCTGTGTAAAACACAGGAGCAGAGAGGGCTGGACCTTTGTGGACTTTTTCCATCACCATGATTAGCCAGCTCAAGCAACTGAGACTGGAGCTATGAGACTCCTCAAAGGCACCTTACACTGGATACAATACTCCCTGTTGAAAGCCTGTCTGCAAGGATGGTGCTAGTGGCTCTTATGAGGTTGGGAGCTGAGCATGCAAGAAGCCCAACAAAAAGAACGTGAAAACAAGGGTGTTTCCTCCTGATTGCTGTCTACTTCCCATGTATCCCTGAATGGAGTGCCATGGCTCATGGAGGTTCTGTGTCTGACACCCCTGAGACAGCATAAGACAAGTGCACATGGAGAAGTCTGTATTTTTGACTGTTTTGGACAGGGGAAGATGAGTTCCTACACCAAAACTGTCTGAAGAAGATCAAGTGAGGCATCTACATTATCTGCCAGGGACATCTTCCACAGAGAATCAGAGATTAAGGACAGGGTAGATTAAAGAGTCAGCATTTGTCAGTAGTATTCAAGCCCCTTTAAGTTCAAAGAAAACTAAAATAAGGATGATTAACCTGGCCGGCAACCTGGAGGTGGGATTTCTGACGCAACTGAGATAAACCCATTAATGTGTATTAGGTATAATTAGCATTCCCACGCAAGCAAAGCTCTTACCCAGAGGATTAAACCCTGGTCTGAGCAGAAATGCTGTCAGGGGCAATTAAGTAACACTTTGTCAGGGGAGAGGGCAGGGGAAGTGCATGGCAGAGGATCTTATGCCTCAACAGCCTTTGCATCCACAGCCATCAGCTCTTGCACAGGAGCTGCACCCCCGTGCTGGCAGAAGCAGAAGAGCTTTGGCAGACCAGGAAGCACTGGGAGGAAGCATCATAGCACTTGCAGAGATCTAGAGGAGACTCAAAACGTTTGCCAATCCGCCTCTGATCCGATACCAAATACTATCCAAGTAACCAGGTATGGTAAGACCAAAGGCTGTGAAGAAGCTGCTATTGGTATTTCTTTCATAGCTGTGATCCTGGGGTGCTGGTCTGGCTGTGTGTAGGGGCAGTTGGTTTCCAAGATGTGGGAACTGGGGCAGGTTCCATGTTGTGGGTCAGGGCCCATTCCAGCATGAATGGAGAAATCTTTGACTGTGCACGATGGCAAGTGAGTCCCACCAGCTCAATGGTGAGAGAGCAGCTTGATTCCTACTGCAAAATGTGGTGGTTGTGTGGCATTAAGGTTGCTTTCCATCCTCGGTCAAATCTTTTAGTGATGCATGGAGAGAATGGGTAGAGGGAGGTTAGTAAGGGAGAAGTTAAAATTGTCCCTCACTAAAAGTTTCATCGAGTACTCTTTTTTGAATTCATGCTGGTGAGAGAGGATGGAGTGTGATTTGGGCAGGTAATTTTTCCTACCAAATCCTGGGTTATTGAGTAGCTGGTAGATGGATACAACTATTTTGTACTGGGGGAAAAGGAAACTCCAAGTACTGAATCTTCCCCTTAGCTATTCCTCTGTTGAGTCAAGGTCAGGGACAAGGTGTGGACCCTCAAAGACATTTTTGTCGTTAAGGTATCATGCCAGCAACTATCTATTAAGGTAGCATGACAGCAGGGTTGGTGAAGCAGGGCAGGAACTCAGTTGGAGATGGAGCTCAAATGCATCTTACAAATTTTGGATGTCAGTCCTGAGGGATGGAAAACTGCTAGCTGCTTTGTTTTTTCTGTTGTACTTTCGGGAGTAGCCCTTGAGAGGGGTGCTAGGTATCTTCAATGTCAGATTGACATGCTGCTTAAAAGTGGACGTGTGTCCCTTGTAGTTCAGGAAGGGTATCTAACACAGACAGACAACCTGCAGAGGAGAACTGCACCTGAGACAGCAGCATAAGAATATACTTTGGGGCATTAGTAGACATGTTATGAAACAGTTTTTTGATGCAAAGCATTTTGTTGTGGGGCAGTACCATCTGAATTCCTCCCATCCTGAATAATAGTCTTTGTTTTGGAGCCAAAGTGCCTTCATCTCTCAATTTGGCCCTAGAAAACTGTGAGTCAAAAGATTTCATCACCAGCAAGGATGAAATCCAGCAGTGCAGTCCAGGTCATACCTACCACTGCACCCCCAGTCTCATTCGGTAAAAGATGAAGGTGGCAGTGTCTGCCTGTGCTACCACCATGCTGTGGGAATAAAGCTGTAAATACTGGGAGACTGTTCAGGTGTTTCAGAGATGGCAAGCAAAGAAGTAAATTCTACAGTTTGAGCTGATCCCTGTGTTTGTGGGCACAGTGTGCGCTTAGGAAACGTTGTGTTACTTGTGGAGGAATAGCATCTGTGCATACTTCAGCTGCAGACACAACCATCTGCTGCTCCATTTGGGGCTGCTGGAACCTGTCCAGTCTCTTGCTTGGGATATTACAGCTGAGACAGAAGCCTGACCACAAGCGACAGAAGAACTATCATTTGGAACCATCCTACTGCCGCCACAGATGGAAAGATGTCCTGGGTGAAGTATTCCTAGACTGCCACAAATACAGAAATATGGCTCTTCACCTTGCATTGGTGTGCAAGTGACACAGGAAGATTGCTCAGATGATCTTTCTCCTTGTATCCCAGGCTTTGCTTTCCAGCACTCTGGCTATTTCTGGACAGTCAAATACATGAACCCTCTTTAGACTAAGGAAAAGAAATCTTTGATGGTGTTTATAGTTCTGAGATTAAAAGTCCCAAGTGTCACGGCAGGTGATGTTGGGGATTAAACCAGAGTACTATGGTGACATAATGAGATTAGTCTTTAGTACCAAATCCTGAAGTTAATTCCATCAGCGATTACATCAGCCTGGATGCACAGGGACAAACACCTGGAGACAGGAGATATATAGCAGTCATGGGGAAGAACATAACTTCAAGGAAGGGAGAAAAAAAATTGCATTTATTTTTATCAATAAATACACTTGCTCAGACCATTCTACCATATTAATTAGCACAAAATTTAATGGAGGGCTGGAAGCTCCCCTTTGGGCACTACTGAGACTTATTGCTGTCTACTCAGGGAAGGAAGCAAAAAGTTCAGAGTGCAGCAGTTCTGTCCTCTAAGGAAGGAGAGATGTCTCCCAAACAAAAATTGTTCCCTGATAACTGTTTAGTCCCTGTGAAGTGGAGCTTGGCTCATGTACAGTGTGTTGAAGATAGGTTAGCATATGTAATATAATTTTCAAAAATACCAAAATGGCCACATCCTGGGGAAAGTTACTCTTCTAAATACTATTCTAAATCCTGAGAAATTAACTTCTGCATAAAAGACTGTCTCCAAGCCTTAGCCTTCTCTATAATCTTTCAACATGCTGTGCTATTTCCCGTAAGTTTGGTATTGACAATCATGAAGCTCTAACAGCAGCTCCACCCAGACAAACGGCCCATCTAGCTCAACATCCCATGTCCGTCAGTGTTCATCAGATAATGCTTAGGCACAGGTGAAGTATATCATGATCATTCCCAAGGACAGGATATTTCAATAAGCCATATCTGTGTCTTTGTGGTTCCCAGTATTCAGGTCCTGAACCAGTCAGTAAAAACATCAGCACTGCTATTCCAAGGCTAATTAGAAAACAAGCAACATCAGCATTTACTTTTCTATTTTACCAAAACTGTGGGGCAAGCTGCTGCATCAATCTGTCTCCAAGAGTCCAGCAGTGTCTGACACAAAAGAAGGTGTGAGTCCCCATGATTTGCAAGTCATTGCACCGTGGGGTTAAGTGTCTTTCTGGCCTTAGCTCAAGTGTCCTTCATTTGACATCTTAATTCTAGCATGCCAGATGAAAGGCAGTGTTACCCTGCTTAATTTGTATGCATTACAATCTTTCTTTATCTTTAATGTCATTATCTTTAATCCTCTCACAATTATATTTTTCCATAATTCTGTCAACTGACTACTGATACCTAGAAGAGATAAGCAGAGTGTTGTGTCAGTCCTTGCTGTTATCTTGCAGACAGAGGGATCTGAGAGAGGTGCGTGCCTGCCGCACACAGCCCAGCGATGAGTGAGACCCCAGCGGCCACTCTCAACACTGGAGATGCTCCAGCTGGTTCCACCACACCACGCAAGGGGCCTCCCAAGTTCAAGCAGAGACAGACAAGGCAGTTCAAGAGCAAGCCTCCCAAAAAAGGAGTAAGAGGGTAAGGGAATTTTGGAAAGAGAATAAACCATGCTAGTTGGGTGGCGCCACACTCTAAGCTGGGCTTCTGCAATAGCATCTTTGCTTGGGCAAGGAGCCAGAAGGCTGCCTCCTGCCCCTGGTACCATCAGCTCTCCAACCTGGAGCTGCTTCCCTTCTGCTGCTGCCCACCCACAATTCTCCTTCCTTGGCTGTGGGTTCAGGGCAACTCTCCTTTCCTTGCTGCTGGCCCAAACTCACTCCTTACCTGCTCTTTTCTCTCCTAGGTTTGGAGATGACATCCCAGGCATGGAGGGACTGGGCACAGGTAAGCTCTGCAGGATGTTGTTGTCATGCCCTGCTTTAACACAAGTGCAGACAAACTTCATGATGGGAGAGGATTCTGGGGTGACCTCTTTTTTTCCCTGGTCTCTCTGCAGCTCTCAGGGTCACCAGGGAAGGCTAGTACTACCTCTGCAAGCTGCCACGTTCATGCTTATGCTTTCATACAGGACAAGACAGAAAGGCCATTTAAACATGCTTCAGTTTCTCAGTACTCACATTTGGCTGCTAAAGTGCTTGTTTGTTTTCTGCTAATACTCTGGCTAAGAATTTCAGCAGCATGAGGTTCTCAAAGAAATGCTAAATGCCAAGCTATTAATACCAAAAATCACAGGAACTAAATCCCAGATGGTTAAGTATTTGTGTTGTCATCAGAATCCTAATTTTAAGAATTTTATATACCCATCTGGGATTGAAAAACATGCACTGGATGAGCTGTAGCCAGTCAGAGCTTTGTAGGTATTGATAACAAGAGAGTTATAGAACCTGTAGACCAAATTAGTCAACATCAGATTTAAAACTGCACATCTTCAAGGAGATAACATTTTGGTTACAGGTAGTTTATAAGAACAGGAGAGACCACATAACCGGAATGAATTTTTACACCAGTTTGCATAGTCACTGAAGAGACTGTAGGAAATGCTGGCTTGCTTTTTCTCACAGAGAGAAAATACACTGATCTGGTTTGGTCTGACAGGTAATACCAGATCTGAAATGCTCAACTGCTCATTTAACCTTCAGGTGGAGTCTCATTCTTCTTAATGTTTCCTGAGTAAATCAGCCTTTCCATTAATAAAAAATAAATACAAGGAATACAGGGACCAGAAGCTATTCTCATTTTCTCTCTTTTGCAGATATCACAGTGATTTGCCCATGGGAAGCTTTCAGCCATCTGGAACTGCACGAGCTGGCCCAGTTTGGGATCATCTAATGTGTCAGCATCTCTACTGGTGTCACCACAGATTTCAGCATGGTCTTCACCACCTTTGACACTTATCTTTGGCCATTGCATCCAACCGCTTATGGGCAGGGTGGTTTTGTAAGAGCTAGTTATGAGAAAGTCCTTTGCAGATTAATTTGGCAGAGAAGTTATTTGGGACCCTGAGCAGACCTCATGTTCCATGTGATGAAAACTACTGAAAAATGTCTTAATGTCTCCCTGCACTATATTATTTTCTTTCTCACTGTTATAGCTATTCAATATTTATGGATATACAGGGAGGCTGAATTTGAGCTTCATCCCTACTTAGCTGAGATATTGTGTGCATGTATGTCCAGACTTAATTATATCAAGCCCATTCTGTTTTCTTCCTTCCTTTCCTGGCAGCTTTCTATATAGAAGTTCCATGGGTCCCCATGTTATTTGGGCTACCAATTATTTGCTGAGAGTACATCTGTAGAGAACAGCTTTAGAGTCACTAGTCCAGACATTAGGCAATCTTTTCATAGGAGAACCTTCCCCAGGGGTTCACCATAAGGAATGTGCTGCTAAGATTTACCTCATCAGCAACTGGGGAAAAGGGCTTGCAAATGCTGTATCTGCTGTACTGCCCACAAGCCATGAGCCATGAGAGTCTGGCTGTTATAATATACGTTAAGTGAAAATGTGTGTGTCTGAAATCAATAGCTGAGTGAATTAATCCTATTATTCATTCCTTTATGGTTGCAATTCCAATGAAGCAGCACTCCAAATGACGCTGTGTTTCCTCTCCTTTGATGGGATGCCCTGTATGACAGTTGCACTGTCCCCATGCCCATACATATTTAGATGAGACATTTGCTCCCCAGGACGTGCTTGCTGCTGGTTAAGAACAGAGAGAATCATTATAATCTGTCCCCAGACTGTTCCAGCAGTCCCGCCACATCCAGCAGAAGATGCTAATGCATTAATTGCTTCCTCTTCCCTGTATTTAGCACGGGGCAGGTCTCCCTTCACACTGCCCCCCATAAGCAGGAGGGCTTTTCTCTCTTCTCTCTCTTGCAACTTCAAGCTCTGGAGCTTGTCTGGACAAGCAGGCAAATGGTGTCCCCAGAGAGAGGTAACAGCAGAGCAAGCAGGGAGGCAGGAGAAGGGTATAGGATGAGTATATGCAGGCAAGCACAGAGTGAATCCACTTAACCCTATTGATCTGTGTCTCCTGGCCTCTGGTAGCCTGAATGCTGAGGAGTGGTGAGGCACCCATAACTCCTTAAATGTCTGGGGGAGACACCAAGATTCCCTACTGCCCTGCCATTCAGGAAAGGCTTTTGGTTTGTTTGTAGGCAAGGAGCAGGTTTGTTGCAGCTACATAATATTCATAAGAGGAGGTAGAATTTTTAATCATTGCCTTTAGCTTGGCAAGCCTCATTGCATAAGAACTGCCTCCCCCATCTTATCTTTCCTATGCTGAACATGTTCATGGGAGTAAGCAGTGATTGTGGAGAGGAGAGCAAATCCTGTCTAAACGATTGATCCCCACACATAAAGCATCACTACAAATCCATGCAAGTGCTATAGTTGTCTGCTACTGTTATTCCAGAAATAAAAGCTAGCAGTTTTTGGTTAAAATATAGCTTCAGCACCAAAAGCTAAAGGAAATTAATTCCTGTTGGCAGTCAAGAGTACAGCTTTTATTATTCAGCACTCCTGCCATTAGAAACAGCAGTAAACCGCAGAGTAGTTCAGAACCGCAGCACTCTCACAGCACAGAAGTCATGTACCATTTAGCTAATTGCAGCCCACAGCTATTTTCTTGGACAGAAGCAGTCTGTCCTTTCCACTTACTTCAAATTTCTCCTGCCTTTCTCACCTTTTAATGCTTTTCTCCTTTCCCTAAGTGTTCTTTATGTAGATTATGTTTTATTTGGCTTTTACTGTAGGGGACCGATTTCATTTTTTTCGAGCTCATGTGCTAGCCCGCTCTTTCTGTAGTTAAATGTAGTTCCTATGGCAATGCTCTCATGCTTTCCCTCACATAATGCTATCCTGTATCATATTATCCTTAGTCCACCTTCTCAGTCTGTCCCCTTCTCTCTGGGAAAAGACCCATTGGATCCAGTTTTGGATCCTGCAGGCTGGTTGCCTCTATTATCATTGAGTTTTCCCCTTTTTTAAGGTTTTTTAAGCAGGAGAACAACAAGAGGAGAAAATTTTGCTCCATTTTCATCTCGGGCCTTGGGAAAACAGTCCAAAGATAGTGAAATACTCTGTCAGAAAATACTGGAGTAAAAGCAAATTTCTCCTTAGTCCAGGAACTGAAGCATTTGGGCCAGTGGGAGGGTTCTGGTGTAGTTCCACATCTAATTGCCATATCCCTAGTTCCCATCAGAGAACTACTCCATTCTCCTTCTTAGAGGAGTCCAACAGGAATTCACACACACCCCAGCTCTCATGCCTGGCTGTTGAGCTGTATCAGAAGATGGATGCTTTGAGTCAACACAGTTTGTTAGTTATTTTAACAATAATTTCTATTCATTAATAGGGATTGCATTCATTCCTTTACTTGTAAGGGATTTTGAGACTTAGAAGAGGAGACTTAAAACACCCTCACTGTTGTTTTGTCTGAGGTTCTAAGTTTTTTCTAATGAGCTATAATTCCTGAAAATTCCATTTTTCAGTGAGAGATGGCTATGGTGCAAAAAAGCAAATGTGTTAAAGTAGCTTGTTGAAGGACTTCAGTCTGTATACATTGTAATATGTTATTCTCTGTTCTTTTACTATAAAAAACATGTCAAAAGGAATAAAAAATAATAAAAAACCGTTCAAAAATCCTAGGAATGTAGTCTGACTTGCTTAAACAACATATCCAGAGAAAGGCAGATGACTTAGCTTTTCACTCTGAAAGTCACTCACCACTTCTCATTAGATGAAACCAGCTATTTTATCTCCAAACAACAGACAATAAAGACTGACTTTGATATCATCTGAGAAACTGTTTTTCTCTTAGTGATGACTGGTGTATTCTCCCAGAAGTGGTGCACATGGTTTCCTTAGGGCTGAAATCTTTTGGCCAGTTACCTCTTCTTGGACTCTTTATGCAACTGAACATCAGCATGTTTCTACCCTGTAGCAAAAATGACAGATGTGAATGCAAACACTCATCTCCTCTTGATTCTTGCTGTTGCTGAACTTTCTAAGTGTTCATAGGGGTTTCAAGTTTGTCAGGTTCAACTGCCTCCTGGTGTTATGCTCTCAAGTCTCAGCTTTAGAAATGTTTTCTTTTGTGCCATCTTTGGAGTTTTTTTCTTGCAACTCATCACTGAGTGTCTAATTGAAAATCTTGTCTTTGAGTGTTCTCTATCCTATAAGATACAAATATGAACTGTCCAGGAGACGCTTTTTGGGGTCTTTTTATAAATCCCTTCCCAACAGCACTTTGAAATCCAGAAAAACATCTTCTCACAACTTTAAAGACAAATCCCCATCCTCACTGACCTCAGTTTCTGACTCTAGTGAGAAAGTTAATTAAACCCAAATCTCTGCAAGAAAAGAAGAATTAACCTTTGCAAAAGTGAAAAGCCCTTGTCTTACTTTCACACTCCCCTCCCCACTCAATATCTAAATGACCTCAGGAATCTCAATTAAAAATAAATAAATTAGAAAATAAACAAACTAAAAAAAAATCCAAACCTTCAGTGTAAGTTGGATTCTGCAGGAGATCTGAAGATGCTTAGTGCAAAATTCCCATCCTACAACAGTTTTCAAGTCAGCACATCACTCAATATCAATCCTCTCTTACATTTTCCTGTGGTATTGATCAATATGGTATGGACTAACAAATGTACTCTGACAATATCACTCTGTGTTTTGTAGGGCATTTTTCTATTTTAAAAATGGGATTTTGAGAGTTAGAAAAATTAATGTCAAGAGTGCCCACCATCTTTAGGTCTCCAATACCCCATCTTTCAGACTACTTAACATTTTATCTTGGTGTTTACAATACAGCTGTCATTGGTTGTGGTTGCAGCTATAAGTTTTCATCAGTGAATCTCATTCTCTCTGAGTCGGGTCTTAGTGAGATCCAGGGCCTCAGCTTGGAGATCTGAGGAACAACAAGTCCGTATTTTTGAGAGCATTTAATGTAAAGCCTCATAGGATGGGGAGGTTATACCAGCCAAAAGTCTGTTTCAGCAGTACCACACCACTGTGATGCAAACTAGACAGATTTGAAAAAAAAGAACAGATCTTGCAATTAAAATAAAAAATACTATCACATGCTTATAAATGTGCTCAACCCTGGAATTTGCTCAGGGTTTTGCTGCAAAGTTAACCAGACTGCTTAACTTTGAAATTTTACTCCCAGTCCTCATAGTGCTGTCAGGGCTCTTAGGGCTGGGATCAGCTTGGTACCCTAATGTTGGGTACCTGCACCTCCAAAGTTTGTCCTGACAGACCAAGGCAGGGAGCCCTTGTGGCTTTGAGCTTTCCCCACACCAACCGTGATCCACCTGGAGGGAGTGGGATGGCTGAAGCCTCTGTGCTGGGAGTACGTAAGGATTTCATTCTGTCAGTTGCAGCTTTTTTCCTCACATTTAACAAATGCTCTCACTTTTTATGTGGTTCCTCTTGAAGCTGAGCATAACTGCGATGAAAATTTTGATCCTTGCTGCTCCTGCTGGGAGAAAAGAATGCCTTCACTAAGAAGGCTCGTTGCCTTCAGAAATTTTCAAACACTTTGGCATTTTTCTGAGGGCCTCTCAAATTCCTGAGGCTGTAAATGAAGTAGCTGAACATAACAATCACCAGCACATATGAAACATACACCAGACTGTACATATGGCAGAGAAGACCAGGGATATGACAGAAATAAATAAGCTATGCTGCCCTGTGAAGAGCAGGACTTTAGTTAGAGGGACAATGGGAGTGAAGAACACTTTTGGTACCCTGAGAGCTTGGTCAGAACAGTGGTCAGCACAGGAAAAGCACACAGGAAGGAAAGATTCCTTCAAGAACATTAAGAAGCAATGTGGTGAAGCCCCAGCTCTGTAAGCTTCCTGCCAAAGCAGTACACTGGCATCTGCCCTGCAGTCTGTGCCCAAAAGGGTAAAGCAGATGGCCAGGAGCCCTTGCAGGAGCTCTGAGCCTGTTATGATACTGAAGAAAAACATCTGCACAAAGCACAAACTATCTACAAAGGGCATCCACTGAGCAAGCTGAACTTGGTCCCTTACAAGAGACCTTGTTTTATCTGGGAGACACTGGCTGCATAACCATACAGGAAGAAAGAGAGCTTGGTGAAAAACACACCAAAATGTGGGAGCTCCAGACTACCAGCACAATGCCCGTGTAATCATGGGTGACAGAGTAGGTAAGCATGAATAATATCAGTGGGAGAATCTCTGTCTTGTGCTATTAGGAGAACTCAATAACCTGTGGGTTTTTT